GAGGCCGCGGCGGAGGCAGAGGAGGCAGAAGCAGAAGCACCAGCGGTGCCGCACCCTGGGCAGTTGCCGGACAACATCTACGACAACGGGATGTGGGGGGTGAGAGGCGAAAGCTGTTGCTGCTGCTGTTGCTCTGTTGATTCCGTTCCCCCTCCCCTGCGCTCGGAGTAAGTTGAACTTCCGCAACAAGATGAGAGCAGAGATGAAGAAGAGACGCCCTCTTGCATGCCGCGCTCCTCCCCTCTCTTTTTCGCCCCTCGCTATTTCGAGAATCGAGTTTTTTTTTTTTTGCTGTTTTGGATTGTTTCGTTTGAAGTTGCAACACTCCGTCTCGATTTCCGAAAAGGCAGGCCTCTGCCCGTGTAGTGTAGGCATCGGTTGGAGCTCCGGCCGGTTTCGTGTACACCCTGAACATGGTACACGCCTACGATACAAGATCTGGAAAAGTCCCGCCACTCCGCGAACAACTACCTAAAACGATCAAACTCGGATATCGGTTTGCTGGTGTTTTTTTTTTTTTCAGGTTGTGCGTTCTTGGTTGTGTTTGTGTTTGCGTGTACATGTATTGTTTTCTCTCCCCTCCCGCGTGGGTGAGCCTGGTCCGGTGTGAACCCGGCGTGCTTCGTCCCGGCTTTGTAGGGATGCGAGGTCAATGGTCTAACGACTACGGCATGCACGACTACGAGTATGAGTACACCCCCCCTCCCGCGTTGGTTGTATTTGCTCGCAAGTCTGTCGTGTTTATCCTCTCTGTGATGCCGTGTTCATTTTTGTTCTCGCTTCTTTGACCGGAATCCTGTGGCGTTGTTTTTTTCTTCTTTGACCACAATGTCGTTGTTTCCGTTTTTGTTGTCCGTCGTCTTCGACCAGAATCTCATGGAAGTCTTGTTCCCGAGAAGCCTGAGGAAAGAGGGCAAGGGCAAAGCCCTCCCATATCGGGACCCCTTCCGACTCAGCTACAAACCCTACTGGGTGCCGGCATGACGAGACAAGGAAGGGAGCCAGCGATCCAAGGAAGCATCCATCACCCCGCCTTCCTCCGTGATGTGTGCTTGGCTGTTCGGGCACAAGCGCCCGTTGTATCTAGTGTTGTTGTTGTTGTTGTTGTTGTTGTTGTTGTTCTTGTATCGTAGCTCTTTCGTACGTTTCTCACGTCAAAATCGCGGGAAGTACGAAGCACCGGGAGATTTATCTTTATTGTTCTTTGTCTCCGTCGGCGTTGTTGTTGGTGTTATACTGTGGTGGTGACTACCGTAACCCCGGCGCAGCGTTCGTGTTGCCCGGACCGCGTTAAAGAGACCTGAGAAAGAAACGAGGTATGTATCTATAACTCCTTCTTCTTTCTTCCTGCCAGTGATTGCGGCGACACCAGCAGCAACAGTGTATGCCATGGTTTGTGGCGACACTATTCTACTATTGAAGCCCCTTTCGGTCAGCGTCCTTTATTCGTCTGTGGGATGATATACAGAGACGAGCAAGCGTGCTTGCGTACGTACGTACGTCGTGTTTTTGTTTTTCGGGGTGGCACGGCCACGAAACAGATTGGATGCTGATACGATACGTCCGGTTGCTGGTCCCGGGGGCGTCTTGCGTCACCCCGATCCCCCCCCCATGTGGTTTTCAGGCGGGGGGTTAACCATGCGGGTTGCTTGCTGCCCCAAGCCATTCGACCATCGAGGACGAAGACCACCTCTCTCTCCTTCCGATCCGAATATAGCAACGGAATGGAGCGCCGCTGCTGCGTTCCACCGAGACGCCGTCCATGTTTCAGGCACTCTGACCAGCAACGGGCGTCGTGGTTTAGAGGTTCTGTTGCTATGTCGGGAAGAAGGGCGAGGCTTTTCGTCATTCTCTACCCTGCCTGGTAGACTAGTGACCAGAGATGGAGAAAGACATGTACGCTATGCGTACAAGGTTGTAGGATGACGGGGAGAGGAGGCGGCGGTTAAACTTTTTGTTTTGCCATTAGTGCTTTTCGTCCGCCACAAACCGTTGTTCTTGATTGATGAGCGAGCGCCGATGGACGCCGGTCACGAAACAATCGCGAAGACACACAGATCCACATGTATGTGTGTTGTCCACGCACACGCAACACCACGAACGGAGATCCCGCGCGTTTTCACCTCCATCCATCCGCGACAAACGCGGCGATGCCGGAGGTTCAGAATCACCCCAAGAAACGCAGGCAACTACTACACGGTTCCTCTAGGTTTGGCTTGAGGCTCGGGTTCTTCGATGCACAACGCATGTCCGCTACGAATGTTTTTTTGTAGGAGTTCTTAGCTCACACACGGTGCGCTCAAGTTCTTAGGACTTGGACTTGTTTTTTTCGAGAGTAATTGATTGCCAAGTTGTTGCAGAAGTGCGGGCGCTCTCGGACCTGAGTGTGGAAACTTGTAATGTACCACCAACCTCCATTTGCTTTCGCAGGAAAAATCACCTCGTTTTCTATTCCCCCTCTTTACACAATAACCGACGCCCCCATCGATCGCGCCAACTGGCAAGTAGGTCCAAGGAGAGAGGAAAGGGCACCGACCGTCGACAACAAAACAACGTCTCCTCCCACACTGCTGTTGACCGACTCGAGAGCGTCATTTTAGTCTTTGCCTTTGCTCTATATTTTGGGCAGGCAGGACCACAACGCACTACGACTCGTTTCTAATTCCATTTCCACTCAAACTGCCACAAGTTTTTTTCCTTTCCCAGCCGTCTGTCTTCCTGATGAAGGAGACTATTTTCTCTCGCCGAAGTTTGGCACCAAAGGACACAATCGCCTCCCTGACTGAGAGGAAACCCGATTGGGGATACGACAAAAGAAATAACATATCTTAGGGGGGGCGGCGGGGGCGTCATTTCCGCAATGCCTTGCTCAAGACAGTATTTCATGTGGGTGCGAATGTACTACAAACTTGTCTACCACCAACAGTGCCACCTCTTTTTCGCCTTCTTCCCCATGGAGTTCTTGACACGACCTCCCAACCCCCTCCCGCCGATTTCTCTCATTTTTTTGGCTTCTCGAAACTTTACGTACAACATGCAACAACCTTCTAAGAACGTCGAATTTTGAACGACCCGCTGCAGGAGTGTCCACCAAACAACCATCAATAATTAATTGGGATCCCAATGCCAAGCACTTAAACAGAACGAGTCAAAAACAGCCAAACAGAGGGAAAAGGGCAAGCAAATACCGAAACCACGCTCTAAGTACTCTTTAAGTTTAGGAGGGGAAGGGAGGGGGGCACGACCAGCATGCGCCAACACGAAAAACAGGAACAACGTCCTCTACTCTAGGTCACTAGGTCGTTCTTTGAACCATCACTCGACGATCCCTGTTAGCCAAAAAACAACAAATGCGGTGTATCCCCCCTCCCCTCACCCGAGCAAACAAAGAGCGTGACCTACCCCTGCCGCCCCCTTGTGTCTAAATACGTGCTGGTCGTAGACGCAGCGATTCTTGTTCATTTCTTCCCTCATCCTCGCAATTTTCTCAAACCTGCTGGTTTCGCTGAATGCTAGCCAGTTCCCCGAAACCATCCACCAATGGGTGAGGGCAGCAAGGCCCTCAGTCCGCCCACCGACCAAAAGATAGGTCATCACCCCGACCTCCCGCCGTATCCACAACAAGCTGCTGCGTACTGCGGTCGAAATAGTAGTCTCTACGTGCTTAATCTGCTGCGAGGAAGAGCCTCTTTCGCAATCGTGTCCGTGGAGTACTTTTCTCAAGACTGGATGGACCATATGATGTGTTTTTTTTACTCGTCCTTTCCATCCCACACGCAGGTCTGATGTTTTTTTCGTTCCCGAAGGAGACGGTTGATGTTGATACAACGGAAGCAACGAACAAGAGCGACAAAAAAAACAGAGCGACAGAGGCGGAGAGAGAGAGAGAGAGAGAGAGAGAGAGAGAGAAGGGTAGTGGTGGCGGGGGGTTAACATCGCAGATCAGACTCATGTGGTGACGATATGGCGGGTGATATCCTGATCGCTCCCGTGGAGTGCAACGCTTAGTCTACCGCAGCAATAAACTACAACTTGTTTCGACGCACGTGGTTTTTGCGCCAAAATGCTACAAACGCGCCACATAAACGAAAATCATGCAAATCCCTGACCTTACTCCTCGATGCCGTGCTGACAAACCAATAAACAGTCTTAGTGAAACACACACACAACCGCACTAAGACTGACGTTTTTTCATTGGTCAACCGGATAGCGCGCTCGAAGGTAACAATACCCACACGGGTCGCCTCCTGCCACTAACGAATGCGCACTCCAGCTGTCCAATAACACGATCTACAGTTTCACGGTAGATAGCTAGTAGCTCACCGTGTCGAAGATCATTCCGCACACCACGTAAGGGTCCATGTTCGATGACGGCCTGCGGTCCTCAAAGTATCCCTTCTGCTCCGCCTCGGCCGCGCGGGGGATGCGGATGGACGCTCCCCGGTCGGCGACGCCGTACTTGAAGGTGTTCATGTTGGCGGTCTCGTGGAGGCCGGTGAGGCGGCGCTCGTTACCCTAAATTGTCGGTGAAACGGGCGACAGTTTGCGTCGCCAAGGTTGTGGAGAGAGATGGAAAGGCACGGGGACGGAGACGGGGAGAGATCAGATGCAAGGCAACGTGTTGGCTGTGACAGGCAAAAGGCAAGGGATGTTTTTGGCGGGTCTGTTACGGTGGCAGCACTCGCATGGTGCTATTTAGATGCTACTTGCGTTTGGTGGCCTGGCATTCCCCTCCCCCCTCCTCCCGCACCCCTCAAGCACACGTTTACATACCGACTTGGCACTCAAGAGTAGAACTACATATTTCTTGTGTAGTTCGCCAAGAAGAGGGGAGAAAAAACAACGACAACAACCGACAAACCACCGCTGCCGTAGCCGTCTCCCAGCACGCTTGCCTCGCCGTAGGCCTCGATGTGCTGCTTGTGGCGCTTCCCCAGCTTCTCGACCGCCTCCACGATCTCCTTGTAACCCCCCTCCTGGCGCATCTTCTCGGTGGAGAAGTTCGTGTGGCACCCGGCTCCGTTCCAGTCTCCGGGGATGGGCTGTTTTTTTCGCGTTCGTCACGTATCGAGTTTTCGGATGAAAAACGTCGAGCGTATGTATCGCACCAAAACAATTTGAGATACTTTGCCATGCGAAGAAGGAACAAACAAATCTGAAAATGATTCTCCGTAGATTAGTCTACCTCCCGTCGTCAACGCCCATCTCTCAACAGTCGTATTCTCTCACCTTGGGGTCGAGGGAGACGGCAACCTGGAGGTCCTCCGCAACGCGCTGAAGCAGGAACCTCGACATCACGAGGTCGTCGGCGCCGTTGATGCCCACCGCCGGGCCGACCTACCGATTTTGGGTTCGTTGATTGTTGTGTTCGTGGTTGGTTGGTGTTTTCCGTTGCGCGTCTTTCCTTCCACTGCTTACAAGATCTGTTCGTGTACCCACCGCAATCGACAAGACGCCGTGCGCTAGTCCAAAAAGAGAGGAAGGTAGATAGGAAAGAGAGAGGGAGAGAGAGAGAGAGAGAGAGACTACACACTTCGAAGGACAAACAATCGGCACAAAAAATCGAAAGGATCGCCAGCAGTTACAATGGTAACCATAATGGTGGTCGAGTAGATCATGTTGTGCGGGGTAGAGAATCCTCACTCCGCGCAAGGGGAATGATCACACCACGTTGTGTTAAAATGGTCAGGCACCCTCGAGGCAGTTACACAGTGCTAACAACTGTCTCTGCAAGTGAAAGCACCAGAAAATAAACAAAGCCATACGCAGCTGTCATCCGTAAGCAAGCAAGTAAGTACAAGATGCCGAACACCCTTAGCAGGATGCAGCGCACCCTTCATGCGACTCGCCAAATACCTCACGGCGTTTCGCGCTTGGTGATGTGAGAGCCTGGTCCGGTGAGAACCCGGCGTGCTCCGTCCCGGCTTTGTAGGGATGCGAGGTCAATGGTCTGATGGCTACGGCATGCACGACTATGAGTACACCCCCACCCCCTCCCCTTCCCCCAAAAGAAGGCAAGAACATCATTTGCACCTAGGCAGTAACGTACCTGGTACTCCCACTGTCCGGGCATGACCTCCGCGTTGATGCCGGAGATGGGGATGTCCGAGTACATGCAAGCGCGGTAGTGCGCCTCGGCGACACCGCGGCCGTAGGCGTTCTCGAAGCCGACGGAGCAGTAGTAGGGCCCCTGGGGTCCCGGCTCGCCGTCCTTAGGCCACCCGAAAGGGGTCACCATGTCCTGAAAAACATAGATTCAAGAGGGGGGGGGGGTTTTCATCACTAGTTCGTTTGACCATCCCTTGTTTTAATAGTTTTCCTTCAAAATCTGTTTCTTCCCTCTCTCTCCACAGGAGATCCGATACACGTCAAGTTTCTGTGCATAATACTGTGCTCCATTCGTAGACATATTCAACCATTTGGCGATCTCTACGAGGGAGGGAGGGGAGAGAGGAGGGAGCGGTGGGCGGCGCAATTGAAGCAGGGCGAGGTCGCTACGTCACCGTCGGGCTTGGCGGGTGGGGGTCAGGTTGTTGGGGTGACGGGGGACTAGGGTTCCAGGTTTGGGTGTGCTCCCTCCCACCTGTTCTTGTCTACTCTCTACACCCCGATCCTTCATCCATGACAGTTTTTACGCAAGCCGCACTGTCTTGTCTCGAAAAGAAGAGTTCCGATCTGGGGATATACACGAGTCCTCTACTGAGAGAGATCTACTCCGTGTCAGATTTCCTTCCCCTCATGAGCTCATGTAAAAAAAAATCAACACAAAACCAAACCCACACCCTTATCACGGACTGACGTCTCCTCGCTGGTCACCCGACTAGCGGGGGTCGATGCTAATTCAAACACACACAGACACACGTACCGTAGGCTGACGTTTCTTCAACGGTCAGTCGGTTAGCGGGGGTCGATTACAACAACAACAACAACAAATAACACACACGCATAGTCGATACACACCTTGTCGAAGAGGGTGTACTCCTGCTCGATGCCGAACCACGGCTCCAGACCGGGGGCCGCGTCGAAGGACGCGCGCGCCTTGGCGCGGGTGTTGGAGGGGATCGGCTCGCCCGTAGGCAGGCACGTCTCGCACAGCACGATGATGTTGTCCCCACCTCGGAAGGGGTCCTGTGTCGCGTATTAGCGGCGGCAAGGGGTGGGAGCTGAATTGTTGTCGGGGCGAGGCTCTCTCGACGAAAATCTCGTAAAACAGGGTGTAACTTTGCTGTCATTTGTCGCATGGTATTTCCCGAGCGACTTCTTAGAAGATATACATACAAATCACAGAAGGGCTCCGTTTCAGTTGTATTTTTTAGTCTACCCGTTAGAGATATGATTTACACAATAACGTACTTTGGTGTTTGTGTACAGCGGCTACGTCTCGCGGTAGGGTGCACGTTCCACGATTGGTGGCACGGTGGCATTCTAGTCAGCGGTGTGGTCTGAGCCACACCATCGCGAAAGGGTTCCGGCAGCAACGCTGCTGTGTTTTGAAAGCGGAAAGCGCCTCGCGTGTATATACCTACATCCATGATCTTTGCTATTGCACATGTTATCTTGTGCTCTTGTGCGTCAATAATAACCTCATCTGCCGCCTCCTCCTCCTTGCATCGCTCACGTACGTACGCAGCGTGGACTCCCTCCCCTCCCCGAGGAAAGCTGTCTGTATGTGTCACCACGACTACTAAATATGGATTGACATGACAGAACATGGCATGGCTCTCTCCCTCTCACCGGGTAGATCTTGACCGGCCGGAGCATGACCTCGCTGTCGTCCCCGGGCGCCTGGCCGCAGGACGAGCCGTCGTAGTTCCACAAAGGCAGGTCGTTGACGGCGCCGGGCTTCTCCTCGAGGGTGCGGGTCTTGCAGCGGAGGTCGAGGCCGGTGCCCCCGATCCACACGTACTCGGCCTGCACGCGGGTGCCTTGCGGCAAGGCCATGTACCTGTGGCGGTGGCGGCCATTGATTTGGACAGAAGGATTATTATGATTTGTAGCGGTGTGTTACTCATGTTGAAAGCTGGTGCCGGATTGGTGATTGATTTTGCATTTGCAGGACGGACGGTTTATTCGATCCAGCATGTTGATCAAGAGTTTTGCCGGTTCGAGGGGAAGCTGCTCTAAAAAGGTACATCATACGGCGGTGCATCTTCCTGCTCTCTGCTCGCTCAGGTGTTCGGTGCCGGCCGGCGATCCTCCGCAACAGCTACGTACAGTAGTGGACTCTAGGAAGACGTGCGTACGTCGCAACCTTGACTCAAGCCTCAGGTGAGAAGATGTCGGTGACAGTAACCATCGTACAAGTATAAAACACAGCATCGTTTGCATATATTTTACGGGGTAGTCTACTCGTCATCGTTGCTTCATAAAACGTTCTTGGTTGGTGCGGGTGGGGGTACGTACACGTGCACGTTTGCTCGCAGATGCGGCATCTAGCTATTGCTGTAGATCTCGTGCTGGCTGGCACGTGCTGACGCAATAATTAATGCATAGCAGGCTCACCGGTCCATCACACCCTGGTCGAGCTTGACGTCGCCCGGCGGCTTGCGGACGTTGAGGTCGTTGGCATCCACGACGCTGGATGCAACGTTCTCGACCTTCTCGCTGGCCGACATCCGTAGGCCAGACGACGGGCGGGGCACGGCACCGGGCGCCAAGAAGGCGTTGACCGTCGCCATGGAGGCTAGGAGCGCGAGCGCAGAACTTCCTTTCATGATGCTGCTTGGGGTTCCTGTGTTGGATGTAGAACGCAAACGTGCAAACGAAAGTGGCGTCATAGTTGACATGCACAGACAAAACAAAACCTAGATGCGCGAGGGATGTTCAGGAGAACCAGAATTGAACATGATTCGGTGTGTGTTTAGACGAGCACACACACACGTTCGCGCCAAAACCTGTCCCACCATTGCTGCACAAGGCAACAGGAGGTGCGGCGACATGGCTGCATCAACGAGAGTCGTCAAGCGGCAATACGCGCTCGCTACGCAAGAGCTTGGAAGCAGATGGCCAAGCATCACAGCAGGCTGTGGTGCCATCGTGATCGTATATGCAACAGCACAAGATGTCAGCGTTGATGAATCGTCAACCGCAGAGAGTAAGCCCCACCTACGTACGCAGCAGCAGTAGCAACGGCCAGGCACGACGGACTGGTCTGCCGGCCGCTCTCTCAACGCTGGGTGTTTCGTCAAGGAAACCATGGCCTGATCATTCCCCGCTCACCGACTATGGAATTCGTGAAGTGTGTGGAGATGGGTGTGTGAGACTCGGGGAGGAACCCAAGTGCGTCGGTCTCTGGTTTTGGTCGGCAGTCGAAGTTCGTACGAAGTGACGAGGTCAAACGATCAAGCGACATGACATCACCATCAGCTGGGGATTCCACCGCATTGTGTTATTGGACCGTTGAGTGTCTCGTCGTTGACGGTTTTTGTTCCTGTTCGAGGATATTTCAAAATAGCCCAAGGGGGGGGGGGGGTGTTGTCACACGTGTGGGTGTCTCTGTCTCTTCGTGACGTTGTTGCTGTGTGCTCAGCATAGAGGCATGAACAGATCGTCGGCTGCTAACAGAGGCTACTGCTGTCGCCATACTCGGATCACGGGTGGGTGGGTGGGTGGCCCGCGTACGCTGTGCAACTGGTCGTTGTCGCCACGAGGGCTCCGTAACAATAAATGTTATGCCTCCCTCGCTGAAAAGCTCGGCGTGTTGGCGCGGTCTTGTGAGCAGGTGTCGGTGCATCTTGGGTCTGTCCCTCCAGCATCGATGTCCTGAGCACCGAGCAAACAGGTGTGGTAGTCGATTCTTTCTCTGATGATGAAGAAAAAGGCACTCCAAGCGCCGACCGGTGTATCGAAAAATAGAAGTTTGCTTGTATCTACATTGCTGCTGAAGCAGACGGGCACTCGAAATACTGTCGCGCCGTCGGCAGCAGGGGAAGCCGGTTGAAACAACGAGAGCCACCACCGCCATGGCACCACCAGAAGAAGTTGTTGTCACCGCGGACAGAACACCCAATGGAGTACCCCATGACCAAACCTTCGACGAGCTCGGAGTGCTGGGGGTCGATGGTTCCCGGATGGCGTGCGGAGTGTACAACCCTCCGCCGCGCGGCTTTGAGCAGCCAACGGAGACCTTCGTTCGTAAAACCGGCATGAGGGACAAAGCACCCCCGGGGTACGAGTACAACAAGACGGAGTACCTGTCTGTGAGCGCGGCCGTCAAGCCTGGTACTCCTGGGTGAGTGATGTTTTGTTTTGTGCTCTCTAGCTTACAACTTTTAGACTCCCTACCTGTACGTACACAGAGGAGTAGAGATCTCGGTGCCCTCTACCCTGGTGAGCGGAGAGTCCGGAGTGTGGTGGCGATGACCTGCCACCGGAGGCTGGCTGTTTCCTTTGGTGTGATGTGGCGAGGAATGCCAAGCGTGACCGAGAACTCAGTCAAACTAGGGTGGTGCGGAGAGTGGGCGAGCCTTCGTGGACTCATTTTCCCATCGTCCTATATCTGCTGCTGTAGATTCGTCACCCATTCACAGCTGTTGGGAATCGGAAGAGGAACGCATTTTGGGAAGAACAGCTAGGTACAAAAGTGAACTATTTTCAAACATCCCTCAGATCCTACTCTTTACGCCCGTGTGTCAGTGCTTCCTGAACCTCCACAACATGATTATGTGTCCTGGTCTCCACAGCAGTATGTTGAGATACGGCCTGTGGCGGCGGAAATTCCAATGCTTTCACATAATCTAGACTAATGCTCGACGGGATGGCTCAGTGACCCCGTACGTCTTTCATTTTCAAATCTCACCGAGAGAAGTGTACGAACTGAGTGAACATCAAACATGCACACGATTCCCCCGAGACCTCTGTCACGATGACCAAGGCCTTTCAATACTTTTTGGGCCATATCGCATACCTTGTGTCATATCCATGCCCAACCCGTATCATGCGTATCCTTCTCGCCGCCCTGCGAAGGTTACTGCGTAGTCGATTGCATTCTCTATCCCAGTCAGGGCGACTTTTTCTCGATAAGCGAGCTAAATGGTGAAGCAGCGTGGACCGTGGACCCCTAGTTCGCCGGAGGGAGTCGCGAGTTTCGCTCGCGGTTTCGTGCAAGACACAGATGGCGCGTGCACTTCGTGTTTCTCGCGCACTTCGCGCTCTCTCCCGATGACGCAGGAGGGGGTTTGAGGATACGATACTCGATGTCCTTTGGAAGGAAACCCAGGAGGGGGGATAAAAGGCCTTTGGCAAGAGAAATTACACCCTCTGATAGCAACCTTTTTCAAAACAATCAGAGCCGCCACACAACAAAACTAGGATGACCTTTGCCCCCAACTTTTTATCGACTCGCGAAACCAGGTCCGCCGTCTTCCTTGCCGCTAGTGCCAGGACCGGCTCAGCCGGCGTGCCGGGCGTTTGCGTGCGCTCTTACCCCACCAGCCCAACCCGAGACGACCGTCTCGAGGATGCCAGGAAGGCTGCCCAGACCCGAGCGGACCAGACTCGAAAGATTGCCATGAAGTCGCGTTGGGATCGGCACGTTCTCCGGGCGAACCCGGCGAAAACCGCGAAAAGCCGGACGAGCACAAATAGCCCAGGATCCACTGACAAGGTGGTGTTTTGTTGTTGTTGTTGTTGTTGTTGTTGTTGCAGTTGGTGATGGACATGTTGGTGATGGTTTCGGCGCGTTGTTGCTTGTCTTGCCGTAATTGTATTTGTTGCCTGTTGTGGTCCTTTCAAACATACCACACATCCTTCCGGATCTCGGTCCGCTATCTGCCAGAGACCGTAGATCAGACGATGATCGTTCAAAAACCGATTGCAGGCAATCCATGCACCATTCCCAGCATTTCTTTTTTTGTGATTTTGTAGGAGCAGTGTCGACGACTCGGAGGGCGCGTGGGGTTGGGGGACAATCGGCTCGCGAACTTCATTGCATGCAACCCTTGGCGCTGATTCAACCAACGAGTTCCGCACGACTGAAGGCATCCGTATCAACGATGATATGTTCGTATTTTCCCCTCCAAACGACAACCGAGTGCCCTTTCGTGGAAGCAGTCCACGGGGTCGTTGACGCCGATAATTCGACCGCCGCGATCGAGGATCTTGGAGGACCAGGCCCTGCGAGAGGCGATTAGGGCTAAAGCGCAAGCTATCGCGGTGGGTTGCTGTCGCCGGTATCACCACCGTCGTCGTCGAAGTAGTCGTTTCTGTTTTCGTTGCCGTCGTTGCTGTCGTTGTTGAATTTTCATCTGCTGTTGCTGCTACTGCTGTTGCTGCTACTGCTGTTGCGGTTGAACCTTACGCAAGGACGACATACTAGAGTATTTTGTCGTCAGACGTGAAACCGACGCGTTGGAGAAAGCTGAATGGAGATGCAAAGGAAATCTAAAACGATGGAGGCTGCCCTTTGTTCGTGATGGTGCAAGCCACTGCGGCGGGTGGCAGTAGGACAGCGTGGGTTCCGTTAATCGTATCCCCCACGTCTTCTACCTCCAACCTGGCCCTGACATTTAGCCGCATAGGGAGCAGCTTCAAGTAAGATTAAACACGCTGCTTTTCCAGTGGTTTTTGGAACAAAGGTATATCCATCCTTCGACTCACTGGCAGAAACGACTATCTCTTGGTTATCTTCAATCGGCGCAACGCATCCGTTCCCGTTTGAGGAAGCACCCGCAAGAGCCTCGCAGGGGAGCGGGTTTCCCTGCACTATAACACGCGTGGCAATAAGCACACTGCTAACCCACTCTCCAGGCCAGCCCTCGTGAAGGAAAGCCGGACCCAGAGACTCACAGACGACTTGGCGGTGGGGGCAACCGACGGAAACTGAAGAGGGGCCACGCAGCGAGCGACAAAAGGGACACGTACCACGGGATCGCGATGCCCATGAAAAATTTCGAGAAACCCTTCGCCGGAGGCAACGAGGTGGACGCGCTGCCGGGGAGGCTGGAGTCGCTGATTTTCCCTCACAGGTATTAGCAACAACGGCAGTAATTAACGTCGAATTGAAACACACACACACATGCACACACACTTTCGGTGTTTTCAACCGCACCGAGACTGACGTCTTATATTTTGCCCGGTCGGTAAGCGTGGTCGATGCTGCTTACTAAAACTCCACAAATAGTGGCGGTTACCGCGAGAAAATTTGCATATTGTAGCACTAGCGCCGAGGGAGAATTAAAGAACGGTTTCGATACGTCGGTTTCATATTGTCCGGAACGACATGACGATGGAAGCAAGGACGCTTTGTACAAACCAAACAAGGTCTTGTCGTGTCGTGTCTGGTGTTCAGATACGTGGACTGGCCGAAGGAGGACGCGAGTCTTCCGGCCCTGGCGCTCGACGTCCAGCGCTCCCCAATACGCCACGCCGTCGCCTTCCGATCGAAGCAGGTAAACATGCCTCAGGAGTCTCACACGTCAACCAACATCGCAACGTACGAATCAACCAACATCGCGACGTACGATTCAATGGCAACACAGGAAGTCGGTTAGGGGCTTGAATCTCTCGTGTTGCAGTTATTGTACAGCTGGGCTTTGTGGGTCTCTTTGCTCTTGCACCCAGTAGCGGTAGCGGTGAAAATTCCCTCTCGCCTTCTGTAGTTCTATCAAGAGTATGATGTTCTTGTGCTCTCCCCCATTCTTCGTAGTCTGAATCGTGCTGTCGAAACGATTTCGCTGTCTCCCCGCTGTTCACGTATTCCTTATACTCTCTAGGCAACTTAAAACACCAAACGGCAATAACGATTTCCCCCTTCAAGCTCTCTGTTGTGTGTGTGGTGGTGTGTTTTTTGTACTTTTCTGGGTGCACAAGCCCCGTATCGTGTGCTACGACCCGCAACGAGAAACACGGGGTTGGGACGGACCCGGCGCGTACGAATGGGACGACAGACCCGACGACAACGACACCGCCACGAATGCTACGGCGGACATCGACATGAACGGCGGCGGAAAAGCCCCCGGAGACAGCGGCGGCGGCGGCGGCGGCAGGAGGGGCAGGAAGAGCGCGGAGAAAGGAGGAGCTCGGCCAAGGGGCATCGCTGTGCGAGACCCGGGCAGACTGTCCCCTGCCTTTCGAGAAGGATCGTCCGCGTTCTTGTCCCCGACGCAGACGAACGTGCGCGGCTTCGCGCTCGCACCTTCTTCTAGAAGTGTCGACGCCGCGGCGGCGGCCGAGGGACGGGACGTTACCACCAGCGTTGCAGAAGCTAGCGAAAACGGGAACAGATGTGGGGCCGGGGCGGGGGGAAGCGGCGCCAGCAGGAGCGCGAGGTCAGCGGCAAAGAAAAAGGCTCAAGGGGACCGCCGAAAAAAGCCTCAAACGGTGAGAGGGGTGAAAGGGAGAGGGTGCAATCAAGTCAACGCGAGTGATTTCGCGGTGCGATTCACTGCTCGCAGTAGGATCAAAAGTTGACGTGGAGTGAGTTGGCGGCCCTTGCATGAATAACGTCGTGAGATCATGGTAAATGGGGTCTGGATGTTGGCATTTCGTCGTACGAAGACCCTTCTTCTATGCAACTTCCGCGTGTTGTGCTCCCCTTCCCTGGTTCCGCGATTCTGCCCTCAATCTACCTGAGTTCTGCCTCCTGCCTGCCTGTCCGTCTCTGCTGCACGTGTATCTCCCTCTCCTCTCCCTTCCGCTGGCCCTCCTCGACTCTTTTGCGCTATTTTTGACTCGGCGCCGTTTCCCGACCCCTGGTCGTTGTTGTTGATGACGATGTCACCGCACGGGGACAACAATAACCTGCGTTCCTACGAACAGCTATGGATGTTTAAGTCCCCCGGCAGGGAAGTCGAGCCAGCGGTGGCGACGCTGGGCTGGGAGGGGCCGGGGGCATACGCTATTGATATGTAAGGGGTGTGGTGTCGATTTATCATTCCGCGGTATGTAGGGCGTGCTTGTGTACAGCAGCCAGCGCGACAAAGCATAGCGCGTATGCTGAGTGCTGCAACAGGTAGGGCGATCGTCAAAGGGGTTCAAGATAAGGCCATGGTCAGTGAGGTGTTTCTCTCTTTGGTCTTACGCAAGAGTTGGAAGAATAAGGCTGCTGGGGACGCGAGGAGCGGCTGGACGCTACGGACCAATACGTAACGCGCGACATCCAACAGTTTATGATGAACAAATAGCAAAGCGGGGCACAGAAGGTGTGTTGCCGAGTGCGCTGGTGTCTTGTAGGGCCTAATGTTCGGACCCTTTCCCGTCACCCGTTGCTCCCTCCCTTGATCTTTTTCGAAATCAACCCGAAGCTTCGTCGCTCGTCCATCGAAACGTGTGTTTTCCCCGGCAGTGGGACGGGCGTGAGAGTGAAAGAACCCGGACGAAAGTCTCCGGTATTCCGAGAGGGCTCGGGAGGTAAAAGGGGAAGGGAAGTCGACCTCAAGGAAAGGGAGAAAATGGTCAGTCCGGGGGGGGTGTCGTCTTCGGCCGGGCCAATGCCAGAAGGTGCGTACATCTCACCGCTGTAGCTATTTTGCCGTGAGACTTGTAGCAGCGTGACCTGAATTTTTCAAAACGTGTTTGCAGGAGACAGTCCTAGCTGGTAGCTACTTTGTTTCACGACTATAGTCTTACTTTTGACAACTTCGTGCCGCCTCCACGCGCCCAAAAAATTTCCCGCACATCCGTATGAGTTTTTTCCAACGCCATCCTTTTGTCACTTTTTTGGTCCACCCCAAAGGAGAGTAATTTCAAACGCACATACATGTGAGTGATTCCGAGCGACCCGCCCCTGCCCACGCTGTAGTTCCACTTGTTTCGTATTCGGGTGATGCCTCAGTGTAACTGCCGGCGTAGCTTTCGCAACCATGAAGAAGGTTCTCCCAGAAACATTTAGGTCCCCCTATACGCATGACCGTTATTACTTTTGGTTGAGGTTTCGCCCCTGAAATTGCTGAGTCTGGCGTAAGTGTTTCCGGGCCCGCTGTTTCATTTTGGGCAATGGACAATAGCGCTTCGCTCCAAAAACCTGGACGTTGAAACGTTGAAAATGAAATATGGAGATGTTGCATGGCCACGTCGGCACAGTCTGGTCAAAACGGTCAGCCATGGTACGTTATTCAGTCAATGCCAAACGACAGCAGTGAAAGCAGACGCCAGTTAATTTTTGGTTCTTTCGCGGGTAATCAATCCGGATCGATCCTTCCCGTATCTACAACTCTTTCACGCTGTGCAACGCTCAGTCATGTTGCTTCCCACAACGTGTGAAAGAGTATGTCGGTCGATGCTTCGTGATTGGGCCCATGTCGACGAGAGTTTCGGTGAGTCGTAGTGAGTGAAATAAACCTACTGTAAGGAAACGTCTCTCACTTCTGTTTTTTTTTTCCACAACCCATGCGGCTGAAGTTGAAAGGATTGATGCCGCGTTAGTCGGGTCCTCGTAACCACCGTAACCGATGGCTTCACGTCAACAACCACACTTTGCTTTCGTTTCCCATTCGGACCTGGCACCCAACACTTTCCTCCTCGCGTGTATCCGCCCACGCGGTTCAAATGTCACACGCACGTACCACTTCTTTTGCCGACGGGAACGGAAGGATTTGCGGTCGGTCCCCGTGAGAATAGGATGGATTCTCCAGGCACTCCTGAGTTCCTCGCCAGCTGGTCCAGCCTGTATCCAGAGTTTTCACCACCAGCACCGAAGGTGACGGCAACACCGCGTGTGAAAGGCCTTTGTACGCTTGTTTCGAACGCGTTGTTGTTGTTGCTGTTTGTTGTTCTCGTACTCGTCGTCGTCTCTCAAGAGCCAATACCTCGGTTCCAGCGCAAAGTGCGAGTCCGAAGTGGTGGTCTCAGGTGTTACACCAATATTGACAAACGAAGTGGGAGACTACAAGAACGACAACGCGCGGAGGTGCAAAGCGCCCCCCTCCCCCCTATCTTGAAAGCATCCGTGCGTCTTGTCGTTCTCCTGGTGGCGGCGGAGGAGGTTGAAGCAGAGAGACGAAAGGGTCGGCACAAGATCGTCTTGTTGACGTGAATATATACCAAATTCGCACTACGGCGGACATCGTTTGCAGCTACTCCACAACAATGCCGGCATTGCTACAACTGACACTGCCGGGGCGGCGGCGGCGGCGGCGGCGGCGGCGGCGGCGGCGGTAGTGGTGGTGCTTACGGCGGCGGGTCAATGAATGCACCGGAAACATGTATGCCCCGCCAACAACATCAGCCGGTTAACCCCGACCTGTCGACCTTGCTTGGATATTAACCTCACCCGTGCTCGTTGGTCTCTTCTCTCGGTCACTCGCCGCTGCCACCGCTCCCGCCGCCCTGCCCGCCTTCTCTACCGCTGACATGACATCACCCCCAACTATACCACCACTGGAACCACCACCACCTCTCCTCCACCCCCGTCTCCTCCAACGCGACAACGAACCACGAACAACCATCCAAGCCAGACGGTTGCCCATGGCGTCTTGCGGCAGAACCCAAATCGATTCGCGCCATGCTTTCTGTCGATTGCGGATCGCTTCGCTCCCGACCCCGTCGTGTGGTCCGCGGCAACAACGACTGCGGGATTGGGCCCGGGGTCCGGGGAGATGAGCAACGGGGGGGACATGGCGGGGCCGGTGGAGAGGTACGACCTCGTGAGCTCTCGACGGCAGCCGCCGCCAGGTGAGATAATAGGGCTCTGGAGGTCTTCATGATACGGCTAGGGACAGGGTTGCAACGGATTTCTTCATTCGGGATTGGAAGGCTGCGTGTTCAATCTCCTGTCCCGAGCGAACGCTGCAGTCCATGCCCTGTATCCGATGCACGCGAAGTATGGCAGATATCCTAGGTCACATGATTGTTCTGCCGCGGAACCTTTTAGGTTGGCCCAAAAAGTACTTTCTCCGAAGTTTCCCCGTGTCCTACCTTCCCCCCTGCGCGCTGTTTATCCCTGCCCTCCTCTCTCGCCCTCTCTGCTACTTGTCTCAATGCGCTTCGGCCAACTCGTTGTCGTGGAACCGACACTCAAAGCCAACACTTGGCTAGGAACCTCCATCCGCCCCGGTTTGCCGTACAACCCGTCACTAGGAGCAGATAATACGGCGGCGGGGGCTGCCACAAGCCCCCACAGTCCCCGGCACCGACAGCCGAACTCATTCTCGCTCCTGTCGCCACATCCATCGACAATGTGGGACGAAACAACCGGGGATTCCATCAAAACAGCGACCAGCGTCGGTGGTTCGAACGCAGCGGACGGAGACGACGGGGCGGGCGGAAGGACCAGGGGTGGCGTCGCGAGTGGGTCAGAAGGTGGCGCCCTCGCTCCTCTGTCGTTAGCAGCAGTTGGCACCAGACTCGTGTCGTCGCAGAAACGCACGCTTGCGCGCCGGGTTCTCCCCGCGGCCGAGGCAGCGGAGTTGGCTGCCGCCGCCACGGCCGCCGCCGGACTCGCGCGGAATTGGGCCGGTCGCCAAGCAGATGCGCACGCCCCAAGGGGCGGTCGTGGGCCCGGCGGGGCAGGAGTAGACCGACAGGATGGGCTGAGGTCAGATTCCACAGATGTGAAGGCCAATAGTATGATGACGCAAGGGGTTGACGATATGCCCGAACCATCATCCACGGCGGCGGAGATGTTCGAAGCGTTGTCAACAGATGCCGGTCCGCCAACGCACGCCAGGTGTGTTGCGGCGAGCTCGTATCGTCGGCAAGGATGGCGGTATGAGGAATACCAGAGCAAGAAAAAACCGTCGGTTTCCTCTGTGAACAAGATTGGCGCCGGTGGTATCGCGCAGACCGCTGGCGGCGGCGTCGCGACAAGAAATACCTCGACAATCGGTGGTGGTGGTCCTGCTTCCCACGCTCCTCGTCAAACTGCCGACGGGGTGGCGATGACGGAAGCGGGTCTAGCGGCAGCGGAAATGGCGGCCGCGGAAATAGAGAAAGCGGGGACGGCGGCTTTGGCCGAAAAAAGTCTCATCCGAACGGTGGGAAGAGCTAAAAGGGGACCGTGCATGCTGACCCTTACCCCGTCGAGTTCGTACGAGATTGGCCAACAGGCGACTCGAACTGGTACTACGACGAGGGAGCAACTGCAAGAACAGACTCTACGCGGCGATTCATTGGTCAGTTGTAGGGGACCGTTGTTTTTCTGGGAGGTGGAGCCCGCCGGCGGGCTTTTGGGCTCGGGGGAGACCAAGGTCCTCCGGTGCTGACAAGATTGCAGAGTGGCCACCTTGACCTCGTGAGTAGCATGGCATGCTGCAACGTACAGTACACATCAAAGCAGTAGGGTGTCGTCACCCAACTGGGCCAATCCAGCAGAAAAAGCGGCGTTACATGGAAAGTATAGCGGTAAGTTTTCGCGCGTGACTCCATTCTCGGCCACGGAACGTACACTTGTTCCTGACGAATTCCATGCGAGTGTGGACCCGGTGATGTGTCTGGGAGACCAGTTCAGGTGCAGGTTTACCCTTTACTCCTCGTTCTGGTTTTCACGTGAGAGGTGTTTTCCCGGGTTCCTGCCCGCGGTGGGCTAGCAGGCATTGCACTGGAGCGAAAAAACACTCATTCATTTTATGTATGTGCTCGCAAACGCAAATGGCTTATGTAGCGTAGGCGCGTGAATAGCAGAGCACGGGCGGTCACTTGCGGAAGTCCACCGAAAGACAGGTACACCGTACAGTGTTACCCGTGCGTGCGTGAGATGACTTGTTGTGGTGCCTGTTTTACAGTGGTGAAAAGGGAGGGATCGTTCGTCCAGGACAATGATGAACGGCAAGGTTCTCCCAACTCTTGTTAAGTTTACCCCCCAAGAATACTTTTCGTTTCCAGCAAAGTTGTTCCTAACGTGAATTATTACCAAAAAAAATATAGCTTCGAGATCAGGCCTTTCGAAACCAAGAAACAACCCAGCAATTCGGATGACATATCGACCGAGTAAGATGCGCAAATGTGCGCTTCGTCACTTTTTGCCACTGCGCAGACAATGCCCCCCCCCCGCAGGCAGGCGGCAGCAAACGAACGGCCTACAGCATACGAGCGGTTTGCCGAACAAGTCTACCGGAGGACAAACGGCCAGCCCGTGCGCATGTCGTTGCTTCTCTCTATGTACCTCTCCCCCCCCCCCTTCTCTCAACTTCGGGACCAACCCCTCCTTTGCTTCGTCGAGTGATTTTGCTCGCTGATTGAGTTCAACAACAAAACACCAACGGGGTGTAGCTCAAGTGCCGTCCCATCCGGCACGATCAGAACAAAATCACACAATGCACCACCCACCCTGAGGGCATGTCACCTCATCCGGTCGTCCGTCTACTGGTGTGATTGGTCGCAGGAAACAACCTTGCTGCTACGTAGCGCGGCGACAGCATACATGTGAAGGTGCTGGTGATGGGATATAGTCGCTCTGCCCCTCTGCCCCTCTGCCCCGACAAGCTGAGCAGACCGCATCCCCACATGAAACTTCGCAAACGACCGTGCTGCAGGTGCCGTGTTGTGTTCAACAAATCACTCAAGGCTCTTGCAGTAGTGAGGTAGTTGCAGTTGTCACCGCCGAAGAACCATGTCCGGTGTTCACCTGTTGCTCCCCCCACCTTTGCTCGCCAGCAACAACCAGTGGGAGCAGAGGGACGAAACTGCCCGTCCCCCCCCAAGCTCCAGAGCCCAGGCAAGCATGCTCCAGGCGGGAATGAACGAGATTGATCGGACGTTTCAGTCTGATTTTCTATCGAAGGACGTTCGGGGGCCAGGAGCACTTCCGCGTAAACCTCGGTAGCTGAGAACGAACACGGCCAGATTTACGCCGTATATGCTGACACAGATCAGGCAGATATCCTTTAACACGACGAGCAAGATGTACATGAGGTACAGAGACACGCCCTGAGTGTTGGGGGTTTCGGACAAACGTGAAACAACGGGAGAGGAATGGGGGGTCGGGGGTAAGTTGCGCGAAGAACAAACACGGAACAAGCGGAGATAAGGCATGGGACAAACATGCTAGAAACCACCAACAACGTGAACCCAACACCACGTGTTAAGAGTAGCTTTATAGAGAGAAGCTCTCGCTCACATCGGCTTCTTTTCATGAACATGGCCTCGGAGGCCCGATGACGGGTTGCCAGACGGCGAACTTCTTGGTTTCTTGCCCATTCCTCTACATCATACATCGCGCGTCTGGGCTGCGGGTGGCTTCGACTTGCCGTTGGCATGTCTTCGAGGCTTGCTTGCCCACGGGGTCCAATAGCCGACGTCTTCCCAAAAATCGGCATCACGTCTGAAATATATGGCTTTCCTCCCCGAACCAGCCGGCAACTCACTCCCACAATAGGTAGAGACACGCTATGGTTGGGGGGGGTGTCACGCTACAGCGAGTTCGCGCGTTATTTCAGTCTTCGTCTTGTGGGAATCCTTCGATCACGACGTTGTGACGCCACCTACCATGCCAACTGTGCGTTGTTAGGCGCCGAACACGGAGGCACGCCAGGTGGAGGACGAATCGACTATTTGCAGGCCCATGGCACCACTACCAGCAGCAGCAGCAGCAGCATCATCAATCAACAATATTATAGCAACATTGTGGCTGCGGCAGCGACCGTGGGGATACTCACCACGACTGGAAATGTCAAGGCGAAGACGACCTTTGCCTTTGCTTGATAGGAGGAAAGAGGAAACAAACGGTGGAGGAACACTGCAGCAAAGTAGAACACGCCTGCGACCATGCGGGAGCAGGGAAAGAAGGGGGGGACACCGGCAAGAGCAAGGTTGGAATGGGCCAGGGAGAAAAAGGCAAGACAGGACGAACACACAACGCAAATGAAAGGGAAGGGCGCACTGGATTAGTTTCTGTCCGGTTTCCTCCAGCGGTATCGTGAACGCGATAAGACGCAGCCTTCTGATTCCCTCCACTACTTTCTTTTGGGCATAAAAGTGCGAAACAACTCCCGGTTTGTGTGGCTGTGCCGAGGTTTGAAACTCACGCCCTAAACGCCAGAAGATTTGCGAGGCTACAGCAGTACCAACCGAACCACTTGGGGCGACCAATTTTGTGTCTCGAAAACGTCAGGAGATTGGGAAGCTACCAACTGAACCACGGGGCTATTTACCAGCTCTGTCACTCGAGAACGTTTGAGTATGTAGCAAGCAAGTTACGGGCCTGTCAAGCGAAAATACCCGCCGAATTAAACCAGCCTTGTGGACGGAGTTACCCTAGAGAGGGATGGCTGCAAATCCAGTCGAGCTTCCGTCGCATCGTCCAAATCGGCGCACACGTGAACTACGCACGATCTCCGACACGCAGACACGCGTGACACTCGTTGGCAAGGCTGGAACAGAACGTAGTGACCCTTCATGGATATGCCGATGCCTATTGACGGTTGACTGGGGAAGCGTGGTACGTGAAAAGCCGCAGAACATCGCGACGCCTTCAACGTGCATGACGTGACGCCCGGGCGTTTTCGCAAGACTTTCGAATAATAAGAGCATGGAATGGACGTTCCGCGAAACGCTCTGGGCAGCATTCATCGGGTGCTGCCTCCCACAGCTGGAGCTGCAGCTTTGTCTCCCATGCTGGAAGGGCCTATGTATGGCAGGAGAAAACCGAGCTGTAATCGGTAGAGATTGGCGGCCACGGACTACGGCAGCAGGATCGGAAAAACAACGCCTCTTACCCAAGGTGGCATTGGCAAGGTCAAACTGGTGCCCCTTTGGCAAGACCCCCAGCTGCGACAAAATGTGTCCCCACTCGCTCATTAGCACCTGTCAAGGGAAAGCACGAGATGTTCATGAGGACGCGGACAGGGGAAACGAGAGGAGAAACAAAGGACGTGAAGCCCCGAAGAATGGCGTAGACGTCCTTGGTTTCTACCCGCAACCTAGACTTTCCAAGAGGTCTAGTCAGCACGAATGAGCCTTGTGCACCCTCGCTGGCGGGGCTTGGCCGTGATCGACATGTTTGTATGCGTATGTATTTTCTTCCCACCTGTTCTGGGCGCCGGTCGACACCTTTTGGAATGTGTTGGACGCACCAACCGGGGTCACACACAAGAAAGGCACCACTGGAGATATTTTCTTTTCTCCGCCAGCCCGGGGTGCGTGCCATGCAAACCATTTTTATCACGACGAGCGTTCAGCAGTCCCTCGCCCCGTCTGTGCATACTCATTACTGTGCTCTAGTGAAAAGCGAGCTTGTCACTCGGGACAGATTCGAACCCATAGCTTTGTATCGGAAGCCCTACGAGGCAAACAACCGAATCACCGGGGCGACCGTGGGGCAAGAAGCAGCAGTGCGTGCAAGTGCGCAAGCCAGGCAAGATGATGTTGGGACAGTGGAACATGGCTTCTGATTGCCCACAAGAAAATGCCTCAACACCGCGTGCATGGTACTGGCGTCCATTGCAAGTACCTAAAGGTACCCTAGAATACGTCTTCCGATCGCAAAAACAGATGCCTGTGGGAAGTCTGAATTACACGAAGTAGATAATTAACATATTGAATCACAACCGACATGGGGTGGACCGGAACCATAGTTGGACAACGTGGTCTACTCGCACGCACGGCGCCTTCCATGTGCCCACATTCCCACACCAAACATCACCCACCCGTCACGCCCGCCAGAGAGAGAGGGAGAGAGAGAGAGAGAGAGAGAGAGAGAGAGAGAGAGAGAGAGAGAGAGAGAGAGAG